GACCACGGAGCCCCGGAGCTGTGGTGCCATCCTGCGTGCAGGGTATGGACACAGCAGGGTTTCTGCTCCCTCACATACATCCCTCCCTCTTGATTCCCTGCCCCAAATGCTCCATAACCACCATCTGTTGGTCCCTGAGCCCCGCTGTGTCACACGTATGACAGGGCTGTGTGTGTCTCCATGTCCCCATGCCATGCCGTGTCACACGTGAGGCAGGGCCGTGTGTTTGTCCCCATGTCCTGCTGTGTCACACGTGGGACAGGGCTGTGCAAACATGCCATCATCTTCTCCCCAGCACCAAGGGTGCTGATGTGTGTTCCCTGCTCTCTCCACAGGTGGGACAGTGTGTCGTGGTGTTCAGCCAAGCTCCCAGCGGGAGAGCCCCGCTGAGCCCCAGCCTCAACTCCCGCCCATCTCCCATCAGTGCCACGCCACCCGCCCTGGTGCCTGAGACGCGGGAATTCCGCTCCCAGTCTCCCGTCAGGAACACGGACGAGGCTCCCTGCGTCAATGGCCGCTGGGGCACGTTGCGGCCCCGCAGGCAGACGCCGTCGGGCTCGCGGGAGGGCAGCCTGTCCCCGGCCAGAGGGGACAGTTCCCCGGTGCTCAACGGCGGCACCGTGTCACCCGGAGCGGCCCTGGACAGCCCCGTGCAGGCCCTGTCCCCCAGCACCCCCTCGGCCGCCGAGGGATTCGACCTCAAGGTGGGGCCGGCCCTAGTGCCGCGCCGGGGCTCGCTGCCGGAGCAGAGGGATCTGCGCCTGGCCTCGGTGGAGCTGGGCTGGGAGCAGAAGCCCACGCCCCTCCTGTGTCAGCTGGACGGTGCGGAGGGCAGGACAGCGGGCACACGGAACCCCCCGGAGCACACCAACGGCATCCACACCCCGCCCCACGCCGCCGGCGCCCTGCCCGGGGCCGTGTCCCCTGGCGCGCTCCGCCGCAGCCTCGAGGCTGTCAAAGCCCTCTCCTCCAAAGCCACCTCGGCCTCGGCCGCGCTCAGCCCTCCCCTGGCGGCGTCCCCGGGGTCCCCGGGCGCTGAGCCGGGCTCGGCGCGGCCAGGCACTGCACAGGGCGAGGGGCACTCGCTGCCCCCCATCGCCCGGCGCCTCGGGCACCACCCGCCGCAGTCGCTGAACGTGGGCAAGCCGCTGTACCAGAGCATGAACTGCAAGCCCATGCAGATGTACGTCCTGGACATTAAGGACACCAAGGAGCAGGGACGAGTCAAGTGGAAAGTGTTCAACAGCAGCTCCGTGGTGGGGCCGCCCGAGACCAGTTTACACACAGTGGTGCAAGGCCGAGGGGAGCTGATCATATTCGGTGGCCTCATGGACAAGAAACAAAACGTCAAATATTACCCCAAAACAAATGCCTTGTACTTTGTGCGAGCAAAGAGATAATGCGGCCCCTGGCCGCTGCCACCACCCATCCCCTCCGTCCCCGCGGCTCTTCCTCCTTCCCGAGCCCCTTCCCGACACGCAGGCATTCAAACTGTGAATTAGGGAGCAGGAAACCAATAAAAGTCCAAGCAAACCCTCCAGCGCTGCCCCGGCAGTTCCCAGTAAGACCCCAGTCGAGCGAGTTGTGTTTACAGGCGGGGAAGGACCCGAAGATCCGAGGATTTGGGGTGAGCAGCCAGGGAATTCCAACAGTCAGGATCTTCCTGGGTTTATTTTCCAAGTGTTTGTGAGTCTTGGTCTCTCCAAAACTCCTTGTGGATTGTGAGTAGAAGTGATTTTATTGAAATAACCCAAATTCCAGCAGGCAGGAGGCCGTTAGCTTGATTAATTCCATGCTCGACTCAGGAAAATAACAGCAATATCCCACTGGGAATCTCCCAGCGCTGCCAACCTTTGCTCGACACAAACACGATGCCTTTTTATTTTGCCTCTCACCTGCCACTTGTCCCTGTCCTCCAGACAGGACCAAAAGGAGGAGGAAAGGACATTTTTTTTGTGTGTCAAAATGCCAAAAATGTCGATTGTTAGCATCCCTCCTCTCCCTGCCCTGCTGGATCAGGCTTCAGGATCAGCCCTGATCCCCTCTGACCAGAAAAAATACTCTGAAAATCCCAGTATTCCCCCAAAACTGATATTTGGCTGCCAATTCCCTTCTAGACTTAAAAGTTTCATTTCATTCAACAGCCCAAACCCGTTCAAGGTCGAAGCAGCCCCTTGGAGCCTGGGAACAGGGTGGGTTTTCCAGGGAAAAGGACAGATACTGGTAAATCTGAGGGCAGCCTCGATGCAGTAACTTCACCTCATCTTTGCACGTGCCTCCTTCTGCAAAGATTAAATCCAAATCCGAAGGGATTGAACCTGTGCGTCCTTCTTGGACAACCCCCTTCCTTCCCTGTCCCCTCGAGGGAGGGGGAAAATGGGGCGGATTCTGCCAGGTTTTGGTTAACAACCTCCAGCACCCTAAAAACAGGGAGCCCTCCCCAAGCCGGCAGTGCCATGACGTGGTCCCTTCCCTAAATTTTTGTTCTCCATTCCCACTGAGCTTTTTGCCGGTTGGAGCCTTAAATCCCATCCCAGCCGCATGGGGATGGGGAGGGATTTGCTTCACCCGCGGCATTTCCACCTCTGTAAATAAATCCCTCATCAAATCCCACCTCTCCTATTAATCCCAGAACGATTTGATTTGTCCTAAGGGAAAGCAAAATGCAATTCCCCCCCCCCACCCCCACCCCCCAAAAAACTCCAGACCTCAGGAGCACCTTGGGTGAGCTGTGGAATATTCCTTCTCCGAGCGTGGCCGTGGGGAAGGCGGTCGAGGCTTCGGCATCGATTCCCACATCCCCTTTGCATGTTTTTTGTCATCCGTCCCCCAAAAAAAGAGTCAAAGCCAGGGATGGACGGCACCTTGATGTCCTCCCCACAGAGCATCCTCGAGGGGTGCTCTGCCAGCGTTTACATCCTGCACCGCTCCCGGGATCCCCCCGGTCGGGAAACGCATGTTCTGTGCCGTTCACGAGACATTCAGCCCAAATTTTGATCCCTGCCCCCCGAATCCCGCGGGAGCCGCTGGTGCTGTGAGCGAGGTGTCCCCCCCGCGACTCAGGTGTCCCCCCGCCGTCATTCCCGGGCCGAGCGCAGCAATGGGAGGCGATTCCAGTGATATTTAAAATCTTGTGTACATTTTGGGGGGGTTCATGGGGGTCCTTCCCCCCCTTCCCGATGAATTTTTAGTGGTTTAACAAATAAAAAGGAAAAGAAACGAATGGTTGGTGCTTTTGGGGAGGAGTGGGCTGGGAATGACGTGGAGGAGAAGTTCCTGCTGCGCTCCCCACAAGTTTAGGGTGAAAAGGGGGATATTTGTGCCAGGGGATGTTGGAGCAGCAGAGGGGAACAAAGGGGGACACAAGGAGTTTGAGATACTGAAGCCCCTTGGAGCCAGAAATTGGGGTTGGGTACCCCAAAGCCTGTTGGGATTGAAAACGGGATCCCAAAGCCTATTGGAGCTGGGAATTCAGGGATTCCCCAAACCCTGTTTGGGATGGGGACCTCAAAACCTTCCAAGGCTGGGAACTGGGGATGGGGAGCCCAGGTCCAGCCTGTGCTGGAATTTGTAGACCTCATATCCTGCCAGGGTTGGGAATTAGGGACAGAGACCCCAAAGCCTGTCAGCACAGGAAACTGGAGACACCAAACCCTCTTAAGGATGGAAACTGGGAATGGGGATCCCAACGACTGCTGGAGATGGTAACTGGGGATGCCAAAACCTCCCATCGCTGGAATTGTGAACCCCAAAACCTGTTGGGGCTGTAAATTTCGGATAGGGACTCCAAAGCCAGTCGGGGCTAGAAGTCAGGACCCCAAATCCTGCCAGTGCTGGGAACTGGAGATCCCAGAGCCTGTTGGAGATGGGAATTGGGGATGGGGATCCTAGAGCCTGCTGGGGCTGGAAATTGGGACCCCAAGTCCTGCTTGTGTGGGAGATGCTGGACCCCAAAGCATTCTAGTGTCAGTGATTAGGGATGAGGGCTCCAAAGCCTGGAGAAACGGGCAGTTGGGAACCCCAAATCCCGCCAATGCTGGGAATTGGGGATGGGGATCCCTAAATCATTCCAGTGTCAGTACTTTGGGATGGGGACCCTCCAAAATCCGCAGGTTCGGAGTCACCCCACCTATCCCGTCAATCCACCCGCGCACGCGCAGCTGCGACTGGGCGTCGTCTCCGTGGCGCCCCGCCCATTTAGTGACGTCACTGCGAGGCGGAAGCGGCCTCAGGTGAGCGGCGGGGCCGTGTCTTAAAGGGCCCGCGCGGGAAAATTGGTGTGGGAGGCAACGCATGGGAAGGATTTGGGGGGCAGCGGGTGCGGGGAGGGGGACAGGGGGCTGGGCTCTCCCCCTTTGGAGTGTTGTGGGGTTAAGGAATCGATTGGGGGAAGCACAGACCCCGTGGGGTTGACAGGCACCCCGTAAAGGAGTGCAGGGATTCCGTGTGAGGCTGTGAGGGGACACCCTGGGGGGATAGCGGGACACTGAGGGGGGATCAGGGACCCCAAATTGGGACACAGGAGCCGGAGAGACCCATGGGAGGGCGGTGGGACCCCACAGGGTGTGCAGGGACCCCGGGGGTGGGGGGAAGGATCCTCTGGGGGGGCAAAGACCCTGTGATGGGATACTGGGGTGGCGGGGGGGGACAGAGACCCCTATGATCGGTCTGGGAACCCATGGGAGGGCTTTGGGACCCCAGAGAGGGCTTTGGGACCCCATGGGAGGATGCTGAGACTCCATAGAGAGAGCACAGACCCCAAGGCTGGGGAGTCAGGCACCCCACAGAGCGGTGTCAGGGACCCCATGGGTGGTTTTGGGCACCCTATGGGAGAATGCTGGGACACGGGGGGTGTTTTAGGGACGCGATGGAGGATTTAGGGACCCTGAGGAGGGTGCCTGGACCCTGGGGTGGGGTCAGAAGGGGACCCCAAAGCTGCGGGAGGCAGTAACCCCATGGGGGAAGCGGGGACTCTTCGCCGCCCCCCAGGTTTGGGGCCCATGGCAGACCAAGACCAGGCGCTGGAGCCGGGCTGGCTCCTGTCCTCCGCCGGCCGCCCCTACCTGGACTCCATCCTGCACAAGAACCAGAGGAGAGTGTTCGGTGGGTGCCCCCCCCGTGCCCCCCAAGTCGGGGTCTCAGCCCCCAGAATCACCCTGAGCCCCCTCCCCAGGTCTGCTGGAGCGCCCGGCGCTGCCGCCTGCCCTGGCTGTCCCCACTGTCACCTACAAACTCTTCCTGGCGGGGAGAAGCGGCGTCGGGAAGACAGCGCTGGTGGCCTGGCTGGGGGGGACCCCCGCGCCCCCCGCCCACCACGAGACCCTGGGTACGGCCTGGGGGTCCCGGGGGTGACGGTGCTGCATGTCCCCGCAGGGATCGAGGCCACCACGGCCACCACGACACCCTGGGTGCGGCCTGGGGGGTCCAGGAGGTGACGGTCCCTCGTGTCCCCGCAGGGATCGAGGCTACCACGCTGTTCTGGCCGGCCAAGCCCCGCGCTAGCGGCCGCCCCGTCCTGTTCCAGCTGCACCTCTGGGACTGCGGGGACGGAGCGCTCAGGAAGTTCGAGCACCTGCTGCCTGTGAGGGGGGGGACGCGTTTCGGGGTGGGGGACACCTCCAGGAGCCCGCAGTGAGGGGGTGTCCCCGTCTCCAGGCCTGTAAGGAGGAGGCGGACGCCGCCCTGTTCCTGTTCTCCTTCACGGACCGCGCGTCCTTCGAGGAGCTGCCGGCGCTCATGGGCCGCGTGCTGGGCCCCGGGGACCGCGACCTCGTCAGGATGGTCGTGGGCACCAAGTATCCTTTTGGGGGGTTCCTCTGGGGGCGGCAGGTCACCCTGTGGGGGAGAGTTCGTACCCCCAGAACTCTCAGCGCATGGCATCGCAGCGAGCACACTGAGAACGGGCACACCTCCGTACACCAATGGATTCCCGACTCGTGCTGATTTTATCGGGGTTTGGGGTTTTTTTAGGTGTTCCTTGACCCTGTGCCCCACCCCCCATTGCCCCAAAATGGATTTGCACCCCCAGATTTCTCAGCATTTGCTGAGCATTTGCATTGAGAGTCTCAGCAGACTGAGAAGGTGCAACACTTCGTGACGCCAATGGATTCACAATTCCCATTTCTCTTTAGGTGTTTTTTAGGGGATTTTTCGAGGTGTTGATGACCCCGTGTCCCCCCCAGTTAGATTTGCACTCCCAGATTTCAAACCAGTCAGTCTCTGGGCAGGCAGAGTACATTCCCACCTCGTTGCACCGATGGGTTCGCAGCTCCCCATGAATCTTGGGTGGTTTTGGGGGATTTTCCGGGGAGTTGCTGTTTCCCTTGACCCTGTGTCCCCTCCCCACCCCAGATTCGACCTGGCCCCACACGCGGCCGTGACGGAGGGGGACGTGCGGGCCTTCGAGGGAACGTGGGGGCTGCGGGTGCTACGGGCGGGGGGGACCCCGGCGGCCGGCGGGGCGCGGGCGGGGCTGGCCCGGGTCGCCCCCGTCCTGGACGCCCTGGTCGAGGGGCTCTGGCAGCGCGACCAAGTGACCGCCGGTGTCACCACGGGGGACATCCCCACCTGACCCCCCTCTTGGGGCGGGTTTGGGGGCTGGGAGAGGAAAAGGTGCTTTTTTGCTAAAATCAGTGATTTTTCTATGAAAAAGATCCCTGACTTGTCCGATTCGGGGGATGAGGGGTCTGGAGGGATTTGGGGTGAGTGGGGTACTGGGGATTTGGGGTGCTGGGGTAATGAGGATTTGGGGCTTCTGGGGGATGTGAAGTGCAATGGGATCATCAGGAAGTGGGTGCTGCAGGATTTGGGGTGCTGCAGGTGCTGGGGGTGTGGGGTGCACTGGGATCCTGGGGATGGGGGTGCTGCAGATCCTGGGGGATTTGAGGTTCGGTGGGATCATGCAATGGGCGTGTTGGGCCTATTGGCAGATTTGGGGTGTTGTGGATCCTGGGGGATTTGGCTGCAGACGGACTATGGGAACAGGGGTGCAGGATTCAGAGTGCTGTGGGATTTGAGGTGTTGGAATTGTTGGGATTAGGGCAACAGATTTGTGGTGCAACAGATGATCCAGGGTTTGGGGTGCTGTGGGATTTGGGATTTGGGGTGCTGAAGGATTTGACGTGCTGCGGGATTTGGGGTGCTGTGGGTGATGGGATTTGGGGTGCTGAGCATTTGGGGCGCTGGGACTCGAGGGGGCCGGGCAGCGGGCAGCCCCCCCAAACCGGTCCCCCCCCAAGCCCCCAGTATCGGACTGGTGGGCGGGGGGTGTGGCCGGTAGTAACCGCGTGGTCCCGCCCCCTGCAGCCATTGGATGCCACCCCCCCGCCCTTCCCACGCCAATTCATGAATGAAAGGGGAGGGGGCGGGGGGGGGGCGCGTTCACCCCTTCGGGGCCGGGCCCAGGGGGTGCCTGCGGGGCTGCGGGACCCCCGAACCCCCTCCAGGGCCGTGCCCCACCTTGAGGGAGCTCCCACACCCCCCGCCCCTCCACCCGGCCGCGTCCCGCCCTCGGGCGCGCGCCCTCCCAGTGCCTTACTGGTGCGTACTGGGAGGGGCTCCTGCGCCTTTAAGAGCGGGCGTGGCCGGTGACGTCAGCAGGGCATGAATGAACAGGAGCGGGCGCGCGGCCCCGCACCCCACACCCCCCGCACTCCCCGCGGGGCCGCCGCTCGTGGGGCGCACCCGAGACCCCCCAAAACCGCCCCGCCATGGCGGGCACCCCCCCGGCCCTCACCCTCCTCCTCCTCACTGCCCTCAGCCCCCTGGCCGCAGAGGAAGGTGAGTCCCCAACTTTTTTTCTGGGGGGAGCACCCCAAAACTCCCTTATTGTGGGCAGCCCCAAGGGTGGAGTGGTTTTGGGGTAAATTCGGGTGGTTTGGGGGGATCTGAGGAGTTGGGGAGCGCGGCGAGCGCTCTGAGGGTAAACGGTGATGTGGGTTCCCCTTTACTCCCCCCCACTTTGGGGTGCGGTGGGGAATCCGCAGGTGTCGGAGCGCGTTTTGAGGGGGGAAAGTTAAAATAAGGGGAAAAGTTGAAATAAAGGTGGAGAAGTTTCAGTTAAAAGGGGAAAAGTTAAATTAAGGGCTGAAAGTTAAACTAAGGGGAGGGTAGTTAAAAAGATGATGGAGGTTTAAAAATACAGGGAGGGAAAAGCTAAAATTGGGGGAGAACTAGAGTAGAGGAGAAAAAAAATTAAATGAGGAGAAAAAAAAGCTAAAATAAGAGGAAAACCGAGCATTTGAGGCAACTTTTCCCATACCGAGTGTTCGACTGACGCGCCGGGGCCCGATCCTGCCGGGATCCCCCAAAAGAGGCTGGCAGAGAGGTGAGGGTGGGGAGGATTAAAAAAAATAAACCCACCAAAAAGGGGAAAATCACCTTAAAATGGACTGTTTCCCATGGGTGGTGCAGGGCCGGGTAGGATCCGGCCGGAGAGCTGGAAAACAATGTCAGGAAAATCCCAAAAAATTGCTGGGAAAAAACAAGCAGCGTCTCGGCCTCCACCTCTCAACCCTTCCCCCAGTGATTTTGGGGCTTAGTTTGGGAAGGCTGAGCAAAATAAAAGGGGGAAATTAACTTTTTTGTGTATAAGTTGAATTTTTTTAAGATTAAGTTTCTATAAACTCTGTCTGATGGGTTTAATCCGTCATTTCAAGGGTAAAGTGGAAGAATCCAGCCCCAAATGCAAATAAATCAGAGGCTGGGACGGAAAATACTCCCTAAAAACTAGAAATGGGGTAAAAAACCCTAAAATGAGGGGTTTTGAAAGTGCTGGGGGGACAGCAGAGGGGATCACCCCATGGCAGCTGTGTGGTTTGGGGTGTGTTCCCAAAGTGCTGTTTCCCAGGAGGGAATATTGGGATTTGGGGTTTTAAAAGTGCGTGGGGGGAAGGTGGTGGGAGAGATGTGGGATTTGGGGATCTGGGGCGGATTGGTTTCCCCCGGTGAGATCCATTGGGATTTGGGGTGAGCTGAGATGGGGAGGGAGTTAAAGAGGAGGGAATGGAGTGGGATTGGGATGCGATCCATTTTGGGATTGTGATTGAGGTTCAGATTGAGATTGAGGAGAGGACGAGGTTGGGATGGGGGGGATGGGATTCATTTTGGGATTGGGATTCTCGTTAAGGCTGAGATGGGGATGGGCTTGAGATGGGGACAGGAATGGGAGCGGAGGGGGTGGGATTGGGGTTCACTTTGGGAATGGGATGGGATTCGGATCAGACAAACATTGGGATCGGGACAGGGTTAGGGCAGGGGACAGAGACAAGGGATGCAGCCGGGAATGGGACAGAGATGCGGCTCCGGAGCGCGGGGGTGGCGCTCAGGGTAGTGATGGGGTTGGTGGCCACATTCACGGTGGCACTGGAGGTGGTGGCGGCCGTGGCCGGGTGACGAAGGCGACGGAGAATTTGATGATGGTGGCGGTGGGTGCAGGTGACTCTCGGGACAGGGGTGCGGCTCCGGCGCTGTCCCGGGAGCTCCCGCGGGTGCTGCGCCCCTGGAGCAGCCTCAGCCCCGGGAGTGTCCCCAAAGCCACCTCCGGGCGCACTCGCAGGGAACCCCCGCCCGCTCCGGCTCCTGCCGCTTTCCGCTCTCCGGAGGCTCGCGGGGGGGATTTCCAGCCTCAGGAAAACCGGGATATCCGCCCCGGCATCCTTCCTGACCCTGGGCACGGCGCAGGGGGGACGGTGCAGCCAGCCGTGTCCCCCGCGCCGGCAGCTTTTGGGGTCTCCCCCAGCCTTGACTCTCTCGGGACAGGCCACGAGCTCGTCCGTGCTCAGCCGTGGGAGCAGGAGGGGGGCCATGGGTCCCGAAATTGCCCCGTGCCGACGGACCCATCTCGCCGCTGAACCCGGGCGTCCGGGCACATTCCTGGGGAATGATTCACCGGGGGGGCCCCGCTCCCTGCCCGGCCTCCTCTTCCTCCTCTTCCTCTCCCGGCGCTGGATCCGGCCACCGCCCTCGGCGTGCCAGGGCACGTCCCGCCGGGCCCCGCGGCTTCCCCGCCTCCGGGGGCGGCCCCGGGGGGGCTTATTCCAGCGGAATCTGCCGGGAATGGGGGGATCCGTGCGTCCAGGGGACATCTCTGGCGCCTGGGACTGTTTGGAGGTCCTGGGGACATCTGTGGCTCTTGGAGATGTCTGTGGGAATGGGGTGGATCCATGGGTCCTGGGGGTATCCAGGGGTCTTGAGGACATCCATGGAACCTCCTGGCATCTATGGGTTCCAGGAATATCTGTGGGTGCCCAGGACATCCAGGGATCCTGGTGGGATATCTGTGGGTCCAGGGATGGATGCAGAGGTTCCAGGGATATCCGTGAGTCCTGATGGCATCCATGGGTCCCAGGGATATCTGTGGGTGCCCAGGATATCCATGAATTTCAGGGACATCTGTGGATCCCAGGAGTGTTTGCACATCCTGGGGGCTTCCATAGGGCTGTCTGTGGGTTCTGGGAGGCATCTGTGGGTCCTGGGGGATGTCTGTGATCAAGAACCAAAGGGTTGTATTGGTGGCACCTGCAAGTCCTGGGGCTGTCCATGGGTCCTGGTGGCATCTCCTGACGTCCCTGTCCTCTCTCCTCTCCCACAGTGGTGCTGCTGGACTTCGCCAAGGCACACGGGGAGCTGGGTTGGCTCACCCATCCCTACGGAAAAGGGGTGAGCACCCATGGATCTGGCATCCAGCCCCGCTGGCCAGCACCGGGATGGGGAATGGGGACGGCCATGGGGATGGGGACAAGGACATCTTTGGGGACCTTCACAGGAATGGGGATGAGGAACTCCATAGAAATAGAGACATCCATGGGGACGGGTTGGGGCCCTCCATGGGAATGGGGACAGGAGCATCTGTAGAGAGGGACCTCCACAGGAACATCCCATAGTCATGAGGATCTCCATGGGCATGGGGACGGGGACACCCATGGGGTCAGAGACCTCTACTGGAATTGGGCTGGGACCCTTCATGGGACCAGGAACACCCATGGGGATGGACATGGGGACATCCATGGGATTGGAGACCTCTGGGATGTGCCTGGGGACCTCTGTGGGGATGGGGGAAGGAGATGAGGACAAGCCCATACCCGGGGACTGGGGCTGTGCCTCCGTTCCCCCCCATAGCCCCGTTTCTGTCTCCGGGGACAGTGGGACCAACTGCAGAACGTCCTCAACGATTCCCTGATCTACATGTACTCCGTGTGCAACGTCCTGGAGGGTGAGCAGGAGAACTGGCTCCGAACCAACTGGATCTACCGCGGGGTGGCCCAGCGCATTTTCATCGAGCTGCAGTTCACCGTGCGCGACTGCAACAGCTTCCCCACGGCCGGCAGCGGCTCCTGCAAGGAGACCTTCAACCTCTACTACGCCGAGTCTGACGTGGATTACGGCACCAACTTCCAGAAGCGGCAGTTTAGGAAGATTGACACCATCGCTCCGGACGAGATCACTGTGCAGGAGGATTTCGCCGCCCGCAACGTGAAGCTCAACGTGGAGGTGCGCTCGGTGGGGCCGCTCCGCAGGAAAGGTTTCTACCTGGCCTTCCAGGACCTGGGCGCCTGCGTGGCGCTGCTCTCC